ACCGCATATTGTTGCATGGGTTGCTGGACGCCATACTGTTGCATGCCAGGCTGCTGCTGGACATACTGCGGCTGCACCTGCTGCTGCACGTATTGCGTTTGCATGCCTGGGTACGACTGCTGTACACCCATTGTTTGCTGACCTGGCATTGCTTGCTGCATTGGGACCGACTGCTGCACCACGTATGTGCCAGGCCTGTGAAGCGCGCTGCCAATATCTAACAATCTTCCACGCGGTCTTCTTTCATGAAAGTAGCTAAAATGGGCCGTGTTGGCTCCCACAAATCAACACAACTTAAATCTGTCCGAAAGCAGGCCCATGACCGTGGATGCCCGAAACATTCTTGCAATGCTTTCCGAACTTTGTAGCATTAGCCATCCGCTAGGTCAGGCCCTTTTGCAGTGGGAGTTGAGTAGGCAAGCCCACTCAAAGACCCCAAGAGAATTCCGAGTAAAGGAACCATGACTCGCCCATCTATCTCGCGACTGAGGCCACTGGCTGCTGGACGCCGTAGGGTCCACCGTAGGCCATCGCAGCGCCTCCGAAACAGGGACCAACAAGGAAGATGATGAACCCGTGAAGCGGGAAAATAGAACGTGCCTGGCTACCCCCACCATAGAGGGAAAAGAGGCATAAGCATAAGCAGCATACAATATATAAGGCACGCTGCTATGCATCACATTAAAACCAGTATATATATATATAACACCATAATAGACCATATAAGACCGATCTGTGACATAGGTCTGAGAGGGAAATAGATACAAAGCCTTTTGGCTGAAGAATGCCAGTCTTCATCCCTGCAGGACCTTATAATTACTGCGAACTGTGCCATATAGGATCTCTTGTTCGTCATGATTTCGCTTTTCACCGACGATGGGCTCCCCGCACCGTCGCGCTGTGGGCCATAGCCGCCCCGGGTGCCCAAGGGTTGGCTGCCGCCCGTCACGTTCTTGGCCACCTTGGCACGTTCGGCGCTAACGGACCGCCACCGAGGCGGACCTGGAAACGCTCCCTGGCGCCTAGCCCCAGCGATCGGAAAGAAATATGATGTATGGTTTTATATTAGTAATAAGTGCCTCGCTAGTAGTAACAGGTGCCTTACTAGTAGTAACAAGAAGCTATTAGAATTAAGTTCTAAATTAACTGGCTCTTGAACCTCAGAGGAGCATCCGGGACCCCCAAACCTAGCTCTAGAAAGAACAGCACCCAGAGTCCAGTGAAGTTCTTGGACGAGACCCTTGTTTCAGTCTCAACGCTGTGAGGGAAAAAAAAAAAATTGTCCACCTGGTGGAGTGCAGCTGCCGCTGTTTTTGCAGCTGAGTGATGGACATCGATGGCTGTCGACCGAAGGGACCGCGTCCGAGAAAAGAAAGGGGGGGAGGGACCTCCGCGAAAATCCTGTAAGAGAAGCCCAAGTCCTTCGGAGCCCTCCCACTTGCAAACATGTGAAACATGGGTACACTTAGACAAATGACTCAAATCTTCAGACCAAGGAGCTGTTGGCTCCGCATGATTGGGCCATGTGGCCCCGAACCCCAGTGGTTCACACCCCACATGCGACCCTTCAGGTTGGAAATCTTTCCACCCACGCGCATCCTAAAGTGAGAACAAAACGACTTCTGAAAAGGGATCTCTTGATAAGCGAAAGCACATTCAAAGCAAAACAAGAACTCCCCACCGGCCATGGCGTCATCTTACCTCGGCCAAGCCGCCATTTGTCCCGGCTTGGTGTCGCTGGGGATGATGTCGAAGCGGACCCAATCGCCTCCATCAAGGCCGTACTCACGCTCCGGTGCACGAGGAGAAAAGACTGAAAAAGCCCCGCAGTGGGACATGAAGGTTTGAGTGCTCACGTGGCGGAGAGCTCATCATTGGTGGGGGGGCCTTCACCGCTTGCTGGACAAAGTTAGTGCCAAAACAGCACCTACCAGGAGAAGTTGCCATGCCATAGTTTTTAAAAAAGTTCAGAGCTGAGCTCTAGCACAACATCTCAGCTCCGCCTGTCTGCGGCTGAGTGTTCACGCATTCCTTGACATGTAGCCAGACATTCCTTGATATGCAGGGTGAGGTGCAAGGAGGAGAAGAAGACACGAATGTGCACGGGAGGAGTGTCAAGTACACAATAGGCCGCTCCCGTCATGCACACTTGTTGAATCAAAACAACACTCTCGCATCGGGAATTCCCATAACTCCACGCAAAAGAGTAGCTACTGAGCAGAAACCGACCTAAAGGCTCCACTACTCACATCACTACCGGGTCTTGGACTGAGTGGTCTCCAAATATCTCCAAATATATTAATATATATGTCCCCCGTCCCCCCCCAAAAAAAAGGTAAAACCATTCCACAAAGCTAACAGCCAATTGGTTTTTGCATGTTGTTGCACCTTGGTTGCTCCGCTCCTATCCTCCGGCACACCTTCTTGTGGAGGTGAGACCCTCCCCAAAAAAAAAAGAACCAACCTTTCAGCAAAGGGGCCGAACCTAAGGGAGGCCGTGCTCCAGGGTGGGCCACCCCTCCACAACCCGGCCCTTCGACCAAGGCGCGGCTGCCCGGGGAGGTCGATGAAGCCGTAGCCCTTGGTGTCGTTCCACGTCCGCCTCGGTGTCGAAGAAGACGGGGCGGAGCGGCCCAGATGACGGAGTGTGGAGAAAGCAGGAGGGGCTTGAGGATAGAGAGAGTGTGAGAGCAGAACAGGAAGAAACATCCAGCGCCCAGTCATCAGCCAAGTGGCACTTTCCCCACGTGCGTCCCGTTGCCTGGAACCTCCGGCGCGGGCTCCTGAGGCCCTGGGAACATCTCCTGGAAAGGGGCGGACAGGAGGGGTAAAGAAGATTTTGAGTGCTCAGGCCGTTTGTGTTCGGAAAAATGTGAATCTGTGGCGATAGGTGGATGTTCATCAGAAGAACATGAAAAACGATCAACATGGTGGAGGGGTTTGCTCGCTGATTGCGTCGTTTGGCTTATACCTTCGAACATCCAGAAGAACCCGTAGGCCAAAACATAATA